AGAGAAGGTGCAGAATCCTCCTAGGTAGGACTGAAGGGACATCCTTGCAGCAGGCAGACAGTTGGCCTCTGAGGATGACTCCCAAAGTAGAACACTGAGGTCCCTTTGCAATGGAAAAGGGAGGCCCAAACTTTCTCAGGGTGGCCCTGCCAGCCCCAGAGAAGGGAACAATGGCCAGGCCTTTGCCCTCTAGTCCTTTCTCATGGAGTCTGAGCCATACTGTTTTTCATCCCACACTCACCCATTGCCACATAGGAGGATGTCGAGTCCACACCCAGTCTCAGGCCCAGAAACGCTGTGGTTAGTGAGGGGAAATGTAGCAGTTTCAGTTCTTTAGAAATCAGAACTCCAACCTTCCCCTCCTCTTCTCAACTTTCCCCTCCCAAGATCTCTCAAGATCACAAAATCTCTCTTAGCCACTGCTTGCCCAACCCGGCGGACAGGGCTGGCTAACCAAGTGCGACCTGCCCCTGTCGTACTGAGGTTTTCCGCTCTTTGTCCCAGCCAGTAGGTAATGCCACAGTGGTGAAGTTTCCAGGGACATAGTTCACCTTTAGCTCTGACTGGAAAGTTCTGAAGTCAGACGCAGCTGTGATTCCTCAGCTGGTGCTAGACTCTGATCTTTTCGCTGATACTGCTCTGCTTCCAAGGTTGTCCCTTCTGGTGGAGACACAGAAGTCATAACAACACAGACTCAGGCCCGGGCCATGCTCAAGAAACCTCATATGGCCACACAGCTGCCATAGCATGATGGCCCTGGCTGGCCCAGAGCAGTAGGGCACCAACAAATTCCTCCAGGGAATAATTCCTAGTCTTTTCAAGTGACATTTGGTTCTTCTGCTGAAATGAACACTCTGAATGACTAAGGACTGCTATCTATACTGTTTGTACCTGTTGTATGAGATCTCAACTGTAACCAAGTTCTTTATGGTAGTTTTGTTTTCCATCAAGGAATAATCATCCTCTGAGTGTCCAAACCATCTCCAAAAACCTAATTCCCAAGCCTTGCCTCAAAGCTTAGACACGGGTTTGCACGACAGTTGCTTCTCTCCCTTCTCTTCAGACCATTTTTTGGTCCTTTCCTCATTCACTGAAGAGGAAGCTGGTGGCCTTCTGAGTCCATCCCAGTTCTGTATCAGGAAATTAATAGAATGGAGACTTTGAGCCAATTCCACCCTAACAAGCCAGCCCCAGGGCCTGAGGAAGTTGCTCAGGGTGGGTCTTTACTGACGGTGGGACTTCAGCAGCTTCTTGAATATCAGGTAGCCAGTGGGTTGCCAATGAGAAGGCCCCACATGGTACAGCTGGGAGGGGCCATGCAACTTATTCCCAAACCAAACTCACAATGTGAGAAGGGGTTGGTGAGTCCTGTCCTGTGAGGAGCTGCCCTCAATTGATATGCACCAAGCAGGGGCAGAAAAGAAGAGAGAGCAAAGGACGACTGAGGAGCGTACAGGCTAGGATGAGCCTTGAATGCTGATGACAAGTGGAAAATTTGAAACCTTAAGCACCAAGAAAGCCTATGGCTAAAATGCTGGCAGGAAAATGAGCTGCTGCAATGTTTTTCTCTCCATCAATGCCTTAAAGCTTCTCTTCTCAGCATTTGAGGTCTGCTGTCTAGAATATTCAGATTTCAATTTGGGAGGCTTAAAAAATAATTCCCCAAATGCAGACACTAAAATGATCCAGCACTGATTAAACCTGGGCTGTAGTTCCTCCCAAGGGGACTAAGACACTGATCTGGGCCCTGAGAGTCTGGCTTCCAGGTCTTACATTGCCCATTGGCCAGGCCAGGTCACCTCATCCACATTTTCTGAGTTTCCATTTTGTCTCTGGGGCAGAGTTGTATGCTCTTTGAGGGCAGCCATCATATCTTCTATTTCTAGGCTCCAAGTAGGAACTCAAGGAGTTTGAGTTTGGAATTTGGGTGAAACGGGAAGTGTGAGAGTGGGACCTGGTGCTCAGGTTTGCCCTCCTCCCATGGCTGACTGTGACTCCTTGGTTTTTCAGGAAGCATGGGAGTGAAAGGAGAAATGGGAGTCATGGGACCCCCTGGAGCCCAGGGGAGTAAAGGCGACTCGGGGAAACCAGGCCCCCCAGGTAAGAGGCTTCATGGTCAGGTCTCCTGGCCTGTGATATTCTTTTTCTTCTGTCAGGCAGAGCTAGAGGGGAAAAAAAATCTCTAAATGTCCTTCTTCTTTTTAGGTGTAGCTGGAATTCCTGGAATCAAAGGACATCAAGGTAAGAACTGTGGGAATCTGGACATCATTCAAGTTCCCACTGCCCTTGAGCAAAGTTAAGTCCAGGACCTGACTCCATTATCTCATTTCATTATAGGATTAATCTAGAGCATCTAGGGTCTCTAAAATTTGGCCCCTCCTAAGAGGAAAAGAGCAGCATGCTTAATTGATAGTCCTCTGTAGAGTTTTACCTTACTCTGCCACCCAGGGTCGGAGCTGGACATTTGTAACCCAGAGTTCCTACTGAGTTTGCAAGCCCTGAACTGCAGCAGTGAATAGAAAAGATTGGTAGATTGCTGAAACTGTAATTTTATTCCTGCTATTAGGGCTACTTCATGGTTTCTAAAGCTGCCCAGGGAACATATTAGATGTTAAGATGTTGAGAACATAGATGTGTTGAGGGAGGGGCAGCCAGGCCCTCTGCCAACCACCTAGCCCTGCAGTCATAACTTAACTTTCAGGACAACCTGGAGAAAAGGGACTTCAAGGCCCTCCGGGTGCGGCAGGATCCCCAGGTGCCAAGGGTGAGCCTGGAAGCACTGGAGCCACCGGACCAAAAGGTGAGCTCCTTGGTCCTATGGTAGATGTAGGGACTGATGCATGAAGATCCAACTAGCTCAGCCCTTATGCCCACCATGGTACCTGTTGTCTAGGACCACCAAGGAGACACAGGTAACAGAGGGTGTGGGTAGGTGGGTGGGCAGCATTGCTGGGTGTCAGGGATGGACAAAGGGGAGGACTGGCTCCCTGAGGCCCCACCAGAAGGAGGTAGAGGGTCTCCTGTGCTCTGAGCCTTAAGGCCCTAGGGCTGTTCTTCCTCTGCCCAGGGTCTCTGAAAAGCTTCAAATACCATGACCAAAGCTCCCACATCAAAAAGAGCAAGGCACCCTGCCCCACTCTTCTTCTGGCCTACAATGGGGCCTCAGAGGACAGGGCTCTGGGTTTGGGAAGGGGGGTTGAGAAACCCCTTCTCGCATGCTTTCCAAGGGTGCTCAGCCTGGGAGGAGTGACCTGCAGCAACTTAGCTCACAGAGACCAGTTTCTAGACCACTGTGCGAACTCAGCCTAGGTTATAAACCGTCCTTCTGATTTGATATACTTTATAAACCACTACGCCAATTTTATCTAGTCACTACAAAAGTGTGGGCACCTGCAGTGGTCTAGAAAGTGTAGGCTACTCTGGTGGGTGCTGAGCCCCTATGATGCACAAGATCTGGTTTCTGTCCTCAGACATACAGGTTGGTGCAGTAGACAAGCGGGTAGACTTTTGCCAGACTGTCAGGCACACTCCGATGTGGGCATTTATACAAAGAACTGCCACATGCCATTTAGAAAGCAAAGTACAGGCCAGAAGGTATTGCGGCAATGCAGGGCTGTGAGAAAAGGGCTGTGTATCTGCCTGGGATGTCTGTGGGCAATGTGCCACAGCCTCTTCCTCTATCAGAGCAGAGGTCATGCTGGTGTTAGCCAACCTGTATGCCCTCACCCGAGAGCTGTGTTACAGACACACACCAGAGGCAGGTCCTCTCAGTTGTCATTGAACAAGTGGTTGACTGATTGATTTCAGTGGCCTGGGTCTGCTTGGGGTAGTAAAAGGCAGACCAGTGCAAGGGTGATGTAAGAGCTTGAGCTGAGTCTTGGAGGATGAGTAGAGCTTAGCCACATGCAGGAGGGGAAGAAAAGTCTAGAAAGAGGGAACAGAGCAGGTGAAGTCACAGAGGAGTGAGGGAGGACTCTGTAGGTTAGTGTTCCTGGCACCTGTTTGGTGTCTAGGGTTGGGATGTGGGGAAATCAGGAGCTCTGGTCAGAGGGGTGGGTGGGGCCACCTCCTAGCCAGCTTTGGAATCTGGACCTTTGACCTTTGGGGTTTTCCTGAAGGTCGTCAAGAGCTGTAGTGCGGGTAGCTCCTACAGCCACTGTTCTTCCAATCTGTCCAGCCTTGGAGTTGATTTCTTTTTCACAACTTTTGTGTCAGTGTAGGCAAGGGCTCTGCTACCTGATGCCATATAGGTGCCACCTGAAGGCCACAAGCAAGGTCTCACCTTCCACAAAGACTCCACCTGTGTATGGTGGCCAAGTGGCCCCAACTTATCAGCTGCCTCTTCTCATCTTATACCTCCTTCTTCCCTGGTCCCAGTTCTTAGGGTGTCTGATTTAGGGGCCTGAAGCTGTCTCGCCCCCAAGTTTCCTGCTTAGCTTCATGGAGATGACAACTTTCCCCCCTCAGTTATAAACAGTGAGGTCCCCTCCTTCTCTATTCCCACCCCACCGTTGCTAGACTAAGCTAGAATATTAAGGGTAAAACATGATTTTACCCAAAAGGGCACTGTGCTGACTCCTCAGGCCCCAGCTTGTATCTCCCACTGTCTGAGGTTAGGGAATCTTGCCCTGCATGCTGCATCCTGGGAGAGTTTTATAATAAGAGCAGCTCTTGACAATGAGCATTTTCATGACAACCCAATGAGCTAAGTAAGCACTCTTGTTAGTGCTATTTCACAGTAAGAGATGGAGCCCGGGTGCAAATCCAGACCTGAGCAATCCAAAGCTTGGCCTTGTACATTATACCCCATCAGGCCATCTTCTACCCCAGGCAGCCTGAAAGTTCCCCTGCCCCCATCAGAGCACTGATGAGCAACACCCCTCCCTCCATCCCAGTGCAGGATGGATGAGAACAGAAGCTGCAGCTGTTTATTCCACTCTTAAAAGGAAACACAGAGCTCTTATCCCCTGTTATGGCTTTTCCTCATTTATCCAAGACCCCACCCCCATTATAGCACACAGTCTGGACATCATTTTTACCCCATCATCAAGTCCCTGTCTATCTGATGGGCACCTTTACGGGAATCTCCATCAGTCAGGCCTAGTGGCAAATAGCAACCAGGAAAATTCTAAGGATGATTCTTTAACTCTAGCTGCCCAAGTAAACCTGGTAGTGAATTGCATTTTCAGTTTGGGGCATGTGATAATTACAACTGAATACAACTTGCATAGGTTCCCCGCAAAAACCCAAATGCTTGTCTTGATCAAGTAGCCGATGGTCCATATGAACATCTCAGAAGGGATTTCTCATAAGATGATAATCCGGCTCATCACAGCCAGGTCTATAGATCATCCTTAAGTAAAAGGTTAATGAACTTTGGGAGAGGTTAGATTTTTGAAGTGGGAGAAAGAAGGGTGATTGGTGAGTGGCAGTCAGATCTTGCCATGGGAGATAATACATACTCTCCAATGTCAGGACATTGGTATTCCCCAAACTAGAGGTCTTACGATGTTTGTCCAGTTTTCATTATATTAAGCCAGTTTTTCAAACTAGTCTATTTCCCATTTTGTAAATAAAATCATTAATCTCTCAAGAGATTATCTAGCTGCACTGGATGAAGTGAAAGAAATTACCATCATGCCTTGGCTTGACCTAGATAACAGCGAGATCTCACTTTTATGCATTAATTACAAAAAGGAAGAAGTCTGTTTATTGTTAATGATGCCTCTGGGCCAGACATTGTGCTTTAGTCCCATGATCTTAGTGGATCAGTACATGACCTTCCTGAGCCTCAGTTTCCTCCTCTGCGGGGTGAGAGGAGTAACCTAGAATGATATCTGGGTTCCTGCTAGCTTGTCAGCACTCTGGGTTTGAAATAGGCAATTTTCAGTCAGAGCAGGAACATACTAAGATTTTAGGCAGTACACCAGCTCAACACTAAACAATAGGAAGGAATGTGCTCTCTAAATGAACTGCTTCTGTGGGAGAAATCTCTTCTCTAAGCAAACACTTTGCAAACAAATATTCTGGGCTCTCTCGACTTGATAAGTTTGTGATACCCAGAGAAACACAGTTTGTTTGTTGTTAAGAGGAAAACTTAGCATTCGTTTGCTTTTTAGTATAGTTTTACAACATCCTCATCTAGATCCTATTTTTCAGCCATTCTCTCTCTCCAATCAGAACACTGCCTTGATTTATAGTGTAATTCCTAGTCCTTTGATTGAATATAGTCGATGCACTCAGCGAATGTCCTCTAGAAACCAATGAGACTTGGAGAGAAATCACACAAAACTCAATTTCAGTTTCCTCTACTGAAAGGGGAGAGGAGTTTTGAAGACAAAACTGTTGCCCATTATATACATATCAAAGGGCATTTCCTCAAGGGCCAGAAGGTTTTGGGAGCACTCAGACATGGGAGGGGCTGGGAGTTCCTTAAAGACCAGAAGGCTGTTCACAGGAGGCTGGCTGTGAACTGTTCCATGAAGACTGAATGAGATGTATTTGCAGTCTCTGGACCAACAGCATCAGCATTACCTGAGAACCTGTTAGAAATGCAGTCTCAAGTCCCCATCCCAGATGCACTGAATCTTCTACTCTGGGTTGGGTCTAGCAAGTTGTTTTTTTTTTTTTTTCACAAACCCTATGCAGGTTATTCTGAGGCAAACTCCTATTTGATTACTTGTTTAAGAAAAAGGGGTGGCCCAAGGCTGGCTGGGACTGTCTTTGGGATCAGGTGGATAGCCTGAGTGAAACTCCAGGAAGAAAGCAGTGAGCTGGCAGCTACAGGCCCAGTGAGAGGCCCAGTGGAGGCCAACCCTGGGTTTCAACTCTATCTTCACCACTCTCTGTGTGATCTTGGATAATCCCCTCATGTCTCTTGAGTGTTGGCTTCCTCCTCTGTCAAAAAGGAAATGGCTCTGTCTTGTAGGGCGACTGAGAGATGGGAAAAAGCAATGTAGGTAAAGCCCCTGGCATGGTGCCTAGTACAGTGCAGGCATCAGCGGATGCTGAGTCCCCAGGAGGAGAGAGGTTAGGAGGGAGGGTGTAAGAAATGAAGTGGGGAGGGTCAGGTCACAAAGACCACGGATGTAGTGAATAGGGGCTTCCCTATGGTTCCTGTCTGTACAGAGTGCTTGTCATTCAATGCTTTGGAGACAGCTGGAGAGGGGTACTTCTTTGAGGGGAAAGTGAGGGGGACCATAAAGGAAGGTCACAGTGCCTGGGGTCCCTGAACCTTGCTTCTAAGGAAAAGCTCTTAAGGTAGAGATTTCTGCAAATAAGGCACCCTGTAGGATGCAGACAGAGAGGGCCAAGAGTCTAGCTGTGGAGCATTTTTCTATTTAATAACGACCAAAGATGTGTTTCCGAATGTAGTTCCACTGCCCTAACCTGGACACATGTGATTCAGATGCAGGTAAGCACAGGAAACATCTGCCACCTCTGCTGGTTGACCTCTAGTCAACAGCAGTTAGGAGGCCTTGCTGGGCAGCAAGTCCAGAGCTCATGAGGAGGCTATGGACCCCACCTCTGAGGTGCTCTTTACCTGAGGGGGAGACAGGCACATGCAAACAGGTTCCACAGGGCAACATTTATTGAGCACTTGCCAGACACAAGGCTCAGCAGTTGACACAGAGGACTTTATTTAAGTCTCACAGCTGCCCCTTGGGGCAGCCAGGAGAATCAGATGAGGAAAAGGAGGCTCAGAGAGGGGGTCACCTTGCTTAAGGTCACAGAGATGGACACAAGCCCGGGGTCAGGTACATCCAACTCCTAGAAGAAAGCTCTCTGAGGCTTAATCCTGTCCCCATCCCTAAAATAAGGGACCAAAGCAGTTGACCTCTCAGATCTTTCCAGAGCTTCCTGCTTCCCTTGGTGCTAGCTCGTGGCCCCTGGGCCCTCTTCCCCTACTCCCCAGGCAATGCCCAGCCTCAGGTAAGACATATGAAAGGCTACCAGGAGCCAGGACTTCCTTGGCTCATTATTCCAGGTGTCTTAAAGAGACCTGCCAGGCCTCTCACCTGCCCTCCATTGACCAGCACACAGTAGGTACTCAGGAAAATCAGAAACTGGAAAGCAGGAACTTCCTCAGGTAGGAAATTTCCCTAGGCAATTGGCAATGAGGATAACTGTGGTTTCCAGTGATCATCAAAGGGGTGGGCCTTTGGTTAGGGCTGGGCTTTCACCATGGGAGGGACACCAGTCAAGGGCAAGGTGGTGAGCACAGCCACTCATAGATAACTGTTTGCATTTCTAATGTTACCTTCTAGTAACTGTTGCTTCACATTAATAATGAGCTTTTATTTCCCTAGGTTTGTGTAACTGTCTTGGAGAGTCCTGTTTCTCTGAATTAAAACTAATATTGGCACTTAAAATCAACAGACCATGATGTTACTAAACAAATAAATTATTATCCCTCAGTGACCAAGCCTGGTTCTGGGAACAGTGGATCTTCCATGGAAGTTAGTGAATGAAAGGATGAATGGGAGGAAGGAAGGAAGGAAGGAAGGAAGGAAGGAAGGAAGGAAGGAAGGAAGGAAAGAAGGGAGGGTCTTTCGCATTAGAACTATAAATAGTATCATCACCAATAACTACAGTAATTATTTTTTTATTTTCTGGACATGAGACCCATTAGCCACATGAATCTTTAGCCACACTGAGGGGCACAATGAAATAAACCAACAAAGCTAGTAAACATCTACTGTGGGTAAGGGCCCCCAAAGCTCCTGGTGGCCAATGAGTTCCCTCCACAGTCTTTTGGAAATAACCATAACTTTATTTTCAAAATATCTCTAAATTCTTTTCCAATAAAATGCAACAAGGAGGAATGGAATTAGATTTAGACACCAAGTCAGGCTATCACTGGCAAAGAAGGCTAGCCAGTAAGTCCAGTGTCTGTCTGTCTAACTTAGACTTTCATCCGATATGTTGCTATTTCACTCCAACACATAGGTCTCCATTTATCTGCAGTCTGTATCCTTTTATGCTGTGCTGGAGAGGCTTTAAACAATCATGAAGAACCAATGTATCTTTCCATCTGCATTAATCAGACAAAAGGTAGAGGTTGTCTAAGATTAAATGTGTTTAATATCCAAGTTTTATTATCTTCTCCCCCTTTTCATATTTTGATCTTAGGACTTCAAGGACAGAAAGGAACAAAAGGAGATTCAGGAGTTCCAGGTAAAGGGCTGGCTTCATTTTAATTCCTCACCACGATGACTGGAAAGGCTCATGCTCAGATGGCTCGTCTGGTTGACTTTGAACACACTGCTGTGACCTTCTCTCAAAGTGGCCTGGGCCCAAGACTATGTGAGGCTAAGACTCCAGGCTCTGTCAATCAAGCCCCAGATTCTTCCCCTGGAAAACCCAGGGAATGACAGGAACTCAGTGACCAAGGGGTATAGGAAGAGGGGCAGGGGCTATGGGTAGTGAAGGGTAAAAATGTCAGGAGAGCCAGGGGTGGGGTAGTGGCTTCAGGTGTGCAGCCACCGTGGGGCTGTGCGGTCTTCTTTTCTAGTCCCAGTTTGGTTGCCAGGTCTCTGCTTCCCCATATCTATTCTGGTCCAGCACTATCTTCCATTGGTGCCTCAAGCCTCCCCTCTCCTCATTCTTCTCACTAGACTATTATTATCATCCTCGTTCAGTGAGCCTTTGCTTGTAGTAGGTTCCTGAGCTTGGCACTTTCCACACACCGTTCCTAGTCTTCTTAACAGCCCAACCCTAACGAGTGCTAAGGCAACACTTCTCAGATAAACTGCTTGAGCAGTTTTTCTAACTCATGAACTGGATATTTTGTTCCTATTTTAACTTCATCAAGGAGAAATTGAGGCCTAGAAACATTCTAGCAAATTCTCCCAGAATGCCTAGAACTTCTATGCAATTGTATAGTCTGATGAGGACCAACAACCTTTGGAATCCTGTCAGCAATTTTCATCTGTGCATCCTCAACCAGCCTTTACAGGGGAGTCGGGAGATCAAAGCAGCACCCCTCCTTCCCAGTTGGACTAAAGACACTGGCTGAACATCCAAAAAGCCCATCCATGGGATGGAACCTGCTAGTTAGGGACAACTCGTTCATGAAACACCAAGGCCCTTGGTGCCCCTTGGAAAGCCGAGCAGAGCATCTGAGAGAGTGGTCTCTCTCCTCTCCCCAGGCTCTGCAGGCGTGAAGGGTGAAAAGGGAAGCCCAGGCCTGGCAGGCCCTAAGGGTGACCCTGGACCAAGTGGCCGAAAGGGAGACCCAGGACTGAAAGGTAAGGCCTGTTTCTCCTTTGTGGGTTTGAAGGAGAGGCCCTGTTGTAAAGAGTTTGGGAGTTTTCAGAATCAGAAGAGTCAAGGTCTTTTGGTTCAGTGGATAAGTTCTGAGCTGGGATGGGCCTCTTCATTGAGCATACAGATGTGAATAAGGCACAACTGGGCACTCAGAGAGGCAGACACATGAGCATGCGCTTGCAGCATACCCAGCCATGCCCCCAGCCACTCCAAACAGTTTCCATGACTGATTCTTTCCATGAAGGATATGCTCCCCGCTCCATGTCTCTTACCTATTAAATGTCTCTTGCTGAGCTAGTTTAAATCCTTCCTGCTGTGGCTTAGGCCCATTTCTTTATGCTCAATTGTCGGGGCCCATGATGCCAGGTCACCAGCACAGCTGGAGAGAGAATCCAACCTCTTCCTCATCCCTCTTCCCACCTCCCCACTGCTGGCAAAGGAGGGCCAGGGGGTCCTGGCCTGGTTTCCTTGAAATCATGTGCTTTTCCTCTTCATGGCAGGATCTTCTGGGCCACAAGGAGTAAAGGGAGAAAAAGGTCAAAAAGGTAATTATTAATTTTATTCTTTTCAATTTGTGCTTTAGAGTCAATTCTGTTCTTGAAAATTGTATGTGTGGTAGGGGGAGAGGCTTGCTGCTCAGAAAAATTACCTATTTTAGGGACAAGCTAATGGGCTCTTCCCTTAAATAAGCCTGCTCGTGATGTGTAGCCACAGTGCAACAGTTTTCCTTCCTTCCTCCCTCCTCCCTTCTTTTCCTTCCTTCCTCCCTTTTTCTTTCAATCTTTCTTTTTTTCCTCTCCACAACCCAAGGCAAAATACGGTCATCCAGATTTGGAAGACCAGCCATAGAGAAACCTGCTCCTATGGCATCATGCCCGCAGGTCCAGGGACACAGAGGCTGCTTGTCAGGAGTGTTAGTGCCATAATGTGGGATCTTCCCAGCTCTGGCGACAGTCAAGTAGAGGGATATCTTTTACCTAACTATAGAACTTCCAAAAGTTAAAAGGCAGAGCCTGCATTCACATGAAGTCCTAGGCTACCTTCCTTGCCTTTCCTACATGTTTTTTTTCACCCAGGTGAATCCCTAGTATCCGTCAGGATTATTGGCTCTGCGAACCGAGGCCGGGCTGAAGTTTTCTATGATGGTGCCTGGGGGACAATTTGCGATGATGACTGGGACAATTCAGATGCCACTGTATTCTGCCGCATGCTGGGCTACTCTACGGGAACAGCCCTTTTCAATATGAAAGCTGGTGAGTTCTCAGTCAGCATCCTCTTTCCTTGAGGGGCCAGTATGGGCTTTCTCTCCCTGGTGGGATGTTGACACCCTTTCTTTAGTTTCAAGTGACTCATTGCGGTTTGGCTTAAAAGAAAAGTGTTGGTTCAAGCAACTGAAAAGTTCTGCAGCTCAGGGCCAGAGGCTTACATCCTTCTAGCTTGCCAGCCCCAGGAAAAAGATGACCTTTCTTCCCAAGAGTGACAGTGAGAGCTTGGGGTTCTGGCTGGCCTGGCTTGGGTCAATGTCCAGCCAGCCCTGGAGCCAAAATACCACCCAGCCGAGAATGTTTATGAGGCATGGCTCTCCGGGTGACAGCTGAGGTGCTGGTGCTAGAAGAACAGAGAAAAGACTCAGGGCAGGCAAACATAGGTGTTCATTCCAGCTGTCTGAAGCCTAGAGGCCTGGACCCTGCCCGCACTGTAATCACCTTTAAGAAGAAGATATGAAGGGAAGAGGAAGCAAATCAGAGAGAGGACTTCTTAAAATCAGTTTTGGAATGATGTCCTGGGTGCTAGAGACTCAGCCCGTGTCTTTCAGTTTAAAGTTCAAACTTCCAACAAAAGAGTTGAATCCCAAGGCTGGGACTGTTTCCTTGGCTACAGGAGCTGACCTGGCAGGGACAGTAGGCCAGCAGTCCCCAACCTTTTTGGCACCAGGGACTGGTGCTCCTGTGAGAATCTAACACCTGATGATCTGAGGTGGAGCTGAGGCGGTGATGCTAGCGCTGGGGAGCAGCTGCAAATACAGATGAAGCTTCACTCGTTTGCCCACCACTCACCTCCTGCTGTGTGGCCCAGTTCCTAACAGGCCATGGACCAGTACTGGTCTGCGGCTCAGGAGTTGGGGACCCCTGCATTAGGCCACTTTTTCCTGCTTCCACCACTAAATATTCTCTGCTCTACTCTATGCAAAGTGCACACCTTATGTTTTAATCTGAGTCCAGTTGGATTGTAAAACTCCTTTAAAATATACATTTTCCTTAATTATAGATTAAGACTATATAGTTTATCACACTATAGTGCAAACACGGTAATCAAATAATTCAACCGTTTTCCTCTGAACTCTTCATCTGAAGTCAATTGTATCAGAAGGAAGGGGGTTTGAGAAAAATGTGAATGCTTTAGAGCCAGGGGATGACCGAGCTAAAAAGGCATTTGAGGAAGATGGATATAGCTGTAGTGGATTCACAGGGAGGAGATGAATGCTAGAACTCGAGGAGGAGACTTCAAATCATGCATGGATTAAATATTAAATACTTGGATGAGACTTTTGTCAAAGAGTAGAAAGCAGAACAGAGGTGGTCAGCACCTTGGGCTTGAGTGGATGTGAGAGAAATGTCATCTAGCCTACATGAGAGCCCCTGAGCACAAATGGGCTACTGTGCTTGGACCCTAATCTCACTCTCCTTTGTCTCCTTGCTTTTTCTGAATCTAGGCGCTGGAAACATCTGGCTGGATAATGTTGCATGTCGTGGAACAGAGATGACTCTGTGGAGCTGCAACAAGAATAACTGGGGCTCCCACAACTGCAACCACAATGAGGATGCTGGCGTGGACTGCAGATGACCCTCCCCAGCCTTTGTACTGCTCTGTCCCCAAGGTGTCTGCAGGCAGAGATACTCAGCTCTCTGAGGGGTTTCCAGGAAGAGGCTGAGCAGCCTCTGGGGTGGAGTCATTAATAAAGCTCAAAATGCTATAACCTGGCAAAATCACTGGCCATGGCTGAAATCACTAGTTCATACCCACCTTCCCTTCTTGGTGTGCCCGCTCAGTACACACAACATTTCACTGAGTTCTCACATTCCCCTGCACACAGGGACACTAGAGTCTCAATTTATAGCCAGGGGGAGGGTGAAGGTACAGGGGGATCTAAATGCGATGCAGAAAGTGAAGATCACATGTAGTCAAAATTAGTCATGACCATCCCTTCGATCATTGAGATGTGGCATCTCTCACAACGAGTTCTCCCTCCAGCTCCGGAGCTATTCACCAGCAAATGAAGAGGTTGGCATGTAGTTGGCACCATATTGCATGATGAATAGGAATTGTAACTTTAAGCATGAAAATTAGTTCTCTTTAGAATGTGAGCTCCATCAGTGCAGGGACTTTTGTCTGTTTTATCCATCCCTATAGGGGCTCAGTAAATATTTACTGAATGAAAAAGTGAATTAAACTAAGATGATAGAGTGGCTCACATTCTCTGAGGAATTTGGCTTCTCTCTCCCTTTTTAGTCTTTCCCTGGGATATACACTCTCTCCGAGTGCAATCACATTGCCCCTCTTTCTCTCTCTCTCTCTCTCTCTCTCTCTCTCTCTGGGCTTCTGCCTGAATCAACGCTTCCTAAATGGCTATAACTAAGTCTCTCTCTCTCTCTCTCTCTCTCTCTCTCTCTCGTAAATGTAAATAGTTCCAGTGAATATTAAATTTGGGAGAGTAAGATGAATGTGTACGTGACTGTGATGTATCATCATTCGCATTTGTCTCAATTGTAAATGGTAAAGCTAAGCCTGGCACCTAAGGAGGAGCAATGGAAGGACTGGGGTACAGAGTGGCCAAAGCTCTGCTGCTGCCGCCGAGCACTGGCACAGTGCGAGAGCAGCCTCCGCGGGACACCTTGGGGCTTCCCTTGGGAGCTCTCAGCCACCCAGAATCCAATACACTTTCAGAGGCTGCAGCTACACCATCCTAGAACAAGCATCAGAGCTGCAGGGGCTTGATAGGGAGGGACCTTGAAAGCTGGCTGTTTCAATTTGACTGAAACCTTTATAATGATGCACCTTTTTCTGGCATGTTGGGATAGGGGAGTGGTAGTCAGGGAGGAAAGAAGATATTTTAAGCCATATCAGGGGTTCTGGGATATAATATTTTGCAAACATGTAACTAAAGGATCTTATCAGCACTTCTTATTTCTCAAATTTGTTCACTGAAACAAAGATGCCATTTCTCCCATCTGACTCTTAAAGCTGGCTTCATGAACCTCTTTAGAAATATGAGTGCCTTGAAAATAGAGTGGAAAGCAGAAACAATTTTCTGATTTTTTCCATTTAAGTTATCAAAAGCCAAGTCTGGCTGACTCGATCATAACATTTTCAGTAAAGAGTTCTGACCTGAGCAAACAATAAGGGCATGAGATGAAAGTCCCCTACCCCCTTGCCCAGTAGATAGTGGGAAAAGAAAATGAGGAGATAGAAATAGAGGGGTGGGGGTCCTCCTGGCAGTCTCAGGCCCAGTTCCCCCGTATTCATTTTCTATCCCAGGATCTACCTCTTCCAAGAATGATGAACTATGGGACTGGTTCCTGCCTGGGGACCCTTCTGCCATATTAGGGGTCTATTGGTACTTGTGCGCTGTCTCTCTGTCTCTCTCTCTGTGTCTGTCTGTCTGTCTGTCTCTCTCTCGGACCCTTCTGCCATATTAGGGGTCTATTGGTACTTGTGCGCTGTCTCTCTGTCTCTCTCTCTGTGTCTGTCTGTCTGTCTGTCTGTCTCTCTCTCTCTCTCTCACACACACACACACACACATACACATGCACACATACACACAAACACACCTTCACATAGGAAGAGGCAATAGTTTATAGGTACAGAATAGTAAAATCCTTGCAGAGAATGGACCACCCATGCCATCACAGCAACAAAGCTCAGAGACATTGCTGTGGCTCAGCCACAACCAACATTTCCTTTCCATAATTTTGGTTTTCATCTCTGAGCTGTTGACAAGGTGGAGAACTGTCTCCTGAGCTCCGATTATATATAAGTCTACCAACTGTCTCCACACGGGTACCCCAAAGGTCAGGAAGCTAAAGCCTGACTCATCATCTGCTCTTCCTGTGTTCCTCATCTCATCCAGTGGCTCCCTCTATCCAGTGCCCAAGAGAAAAACTGAGTGTCAAACACCATGCCTCCGCTCCAAAACCCCTTCATTCACCAAGCACCAAGTCCCACTAATTCTACCTCCTCAACATCTCTCCAGTCCATCAGCTCTCCCCATCTTTGCTACCACAGTGGCCCAGGCCGAAGCACTGCTGTCCTGGATGCCTGCTGCCCTCCACCATGCTCCATCTGTCACCTACTTATTTGCCGCATGGCAGTTTGAGAGCTCTTTAGAAATGACAGTGCTAACCACGCTACTCCCTGCCTAAAGCTTTCAGTGGCTCCCCAGTTCCTTAGGCAGTGAGCCAGATTCATCACTGTGGCTTATGAGGAAGTGACCCTGACAATTGATCTCACATAGCACTCCAGCAACCTTACGTTTTGATTCCTCTCTCATTTCTAGTTCTGTGTTTATATAGTTTCTCCTTTCTCCTATGTGATGTCTCTCATATGATAGGTCTTGATAAATATTTTCTGATTGACTCCCTCAATAAATGAACAAATGAAGGAATGCTAAGCAGAGCCCTTAGCTTCTCTTTACTGGGATTGCTTCGTAGTCTTTCCTTGAACGGGATTTGCATTCTTGCCGTCTATCATATTCCATTGTGACTAAAGACCCCGACTCAAATAGTTCCCCAGATACAAAGGAATCGTTTTCTCTGAAGGCAAATTTAATGCTCAGCTTTTTACAGTTTATAAGGTTAGTTTTTAAAACAAAATCATGGGGGCCATGTTTTACTATGTATATTCTTTAAAATATATAGTTTTTAAGTTTGTATCTTCCCACTGCCTCAACATCCCCATGAACAGGCTATGACCAGATATACCAGGGTGAGAAGGTGGGTCCCTGCCACAAGCTCCCCTTTCTACCTTCCCTTGACAGTGACCTAGCAACATTCAAAGTCACCAATGAAATCCCCTTGCACCCTTTGTTTGTGTACCCTACGCCAACTCCTAGTAAAGGCCCTCTCCACAAATCCTTGTTCTGTCAGGTCTGGGTCTGTGTGGCTGAGCCCACTCCCTTGGCACTTTCTCTGTATGGCCCCCTCTTGGCCTGCAGTGACCCAGTCTCTCGAGGACCTGTAAGTATAATCAACTTTGTTTTCTTGTGCCTCTCCCGTGCCCCCTCTTGTGGCCGCACCTGACTGACCATCCTCTAAAAGAACACAACACTAGAGCAGCACATGATACAAGTGAGATTACTCCTATCTTATCAATGTGCAAACTGAGTTGCAAAGAGGTGAAGTAATGTGGAAGGTTGGCTTCAATTCTCACCCTTCTATTTATGGCCTTTGCAGTGTGACTTTGCAGCTCTTCTCATCACAAGCCAGGTCTCTTGTTCTTTCACTCCCACTCTTGAAATTCCTGCCACATTATAGAAACAAGCCTGGGCTGGCCCACTGGAGAATGAGTGAACATGTGGAGCAGAGCACAGGTGCTCTCCGAGGATATGAGCACCTGGCCTACAGCTGACCACAGTTGCATTAGTCAACACAGCCAAGACTAGTCAAGCTGGGCCCATATGAGGAGAACTACCTGCCCAACCAACCCATAAACTAATGAGTAGTCACAGATGGTTGTGGGTGGTTTGTCATACAGCATTGACGTTCTGATAAAGTTAATCTGACTGAGGACACACAGCTAGTAAGCAGCAGAGAGGGATTCAAACCCAGGTCTGTCTGACATCAGTAAGATTAACGGAGAGAGAGTTGCTGCCACCTGCACCTCTGCTGGTCAGTTCCTCTGATAAGCTCTCAGGCAGCCCTAAGCTGAGGGAGCTCCCCTTTCAGACCCACGGAGGCCATAGCACATGGCCGCAGAGTGTAGGCTTGTTCTGTGGCTGGTCAGTGACTGATGTGGGGCTGAAGAAGAACTGGATAAAATTAGCATGACAGCAGCCCCAATTACGAGGAAGCAGGCTGTGGTGGGGCTGAGGCTGCTGAATGTTGGGCATGGCCTCCTGACCTTTGCGTAACACTGCTGTAGACAGCTTAGCTGTGCTGTCTACTTGGAATAATTCTCTTTCCTCTTTCCCCTTCCTGGAGACAGCGTGACCTGCACGAGGCCAGCAGGACAGATACCAGCACTGAACAACTGGCTGGGCGGGGCCCTCAAAGAACCCTCTGTGCACAAGACGACCATTACCCTGCCCAGAGAGATTTCCAGCATCCAGCTATAGAGGCACAGGTAAGAATGAAGGTTCTAGAGCCAGACTACCCGGGTTAGGATCCTAATACTGCCATGTACCAGGCCTTTACCTGGACAACCAAGTTATTGAACCAATCTGGGCCTGGTTTCCTAGTCTGTAAAATATAGTAACAGTTCTTCCCTCTTAGAGTTCTTGTGAGGATTAATTGAACTGATAAGTTAAAAGGAAACATATAAAATAATGCCTGGTGCATGGTAAATGCTGTGTGTTATTGTGATCCTTCAAGGCCCTTCACAGTCCACTCCTTGACCCCCAGCATTGCCTCACTGAGCCCTCTGCACCAAGCCCTCTGCACAAGTCTTCTTAGTGCCCTCCTATCTGCACCAGGCCTGGGGGTAGGACGGACTAGGAAGGTGTGTCTGTGGGTCCACCAGAAGCCAACATGAAGGGAATCAAGACTGGAAGAGGTTTATTGAGGGTAACACCTGTGAACAATAAAAGGTTGAGGGAGCAGGATTGGGCAGGAGGGCCTCAGACAAACACACAGACATGGTAAAGTCTCAGCCAGCTCTACAGGGAGATCCAGAGCAGAGATTGCCCCTCAGTGGAGTCCCATGTTGGGCAGGAATAGCCAGGCTCTAGTCCCTCTCCTCCCACTCAGGCC